TAAGATAATGTTTGCATTATTATCATTACTATTATACTATTACTATTACTACTACTACTACTACTACTACTACTGCTACTACTACTACTAATACTACTACTATATATTTTTGTTTAGATGAAAATATTCATCTGAATTCGTGTTTTATTTTTCAATATGTCTTGTGAACATAAAATGATAATAAAATGAAGAAATCTGAGGCTTTATAATTTTGCCTAGTAGGCTATAGTCTTCATCATGATTGTTTTTCTTTCAGAATGAGGGCGGTAAACCCTCTTATGTCCTTTTGTATACGCCAACTGAGGTAAACAATATGCACAGCGCTTCTGGGTTAAAAATAAGTTCACGTTTATTCAGGATACAAGGTCCACTTTCAAGATTAACCGGCAAAAAAAAAAGGCGGCAAAAAAATAGAGCATCTGCGTTTCGCAAAATTATTCGTCCGCACTCGAAACGGAAAATGCGGCTATTTAAAAAATCTGTGCATGGCCGTTTTCAAATCAGTATTAAAAACAACTGCTATTACAGCCCTCTAATCGGCAACAATTATTCCGCCCTTCCGACCCTACAACTCCGCGATCCATCACGCGCGTTGTTAATGAGGCCCTGATTACGTAAACGAGCACGCACGGCGGACTTTGTCTGGTAGATAATTGATTATACAGGACCCAATTTGCAAGTGCAGGCGGTCGGCCGGTCAGGGCACGCCGGTCATTGGTTTTAAAGGTAGAGTGTTCTCCGGAATCATAAAGTGTGGCAAGGAGAGTGTGGGGGAGAGGGAGAGAGAGAGAGAGAGAGAGAGAAAGAGAGAGAGACACACACATACACAGACAAAGAGTGAGAGAGAGAGAGAGAGAGAGAGAGGAAGAGAGTGAAAAAGAGAGAAGAGAGGAGAGAATGAGAGAGATAGAGAGAGAGAGAGAGAGAGAGGACAGAGAGAGAGAGAGAGAGAGAGAGGAAAGAGAGGGAGGGAGAGAGAGAGAGAGAGAGAGAGAGGGGCGTAGATATACGGGGGACATGGGAGCATTTGGCCCCCATTAATAATTGCCACCCCACCCCTAATTTTCAAGTACAGGCGGTCATCCAGCTGCTCTCCGGTCATTGATTTCAAAAGGTCGCCTGGATCAAAGTGGGACACAGGGGGGTCAGTGTGCCGTGTAGCAATTTGCGGGGGCACAGGGAGTACCGTGATCCTCATCAAATTGAGAAAGAAAACAAAAGGTTCAAAAACACGACCACAGCTACTATCGACAAAATTAACCTACGACAACTTTAGTAGCCTGAAGCTTATATTGAAATATGCGAACATGAAATAAGGTATTACGTTTATTCGAACATCTTTTATATGGGATGTTCCGAATAGGGTATTGAAATTGCACTGTACTTGATTTCACGAAAATAGCTGCGATCGTGTTATATAAACAAAAGAAAGAGATTTCAATTTTCAATTTCAATTCAAATAATTTTATTTCCGTAACTAAATAAAAACATGAAAAAGATGCTAACATAAAATAAATATCAAATGAATTTGGAATACGAATAGAAAATAAAACTTATTTGCTTTACTGCACTATTAAATATTAATAAGTAATCAAAGAATATTAGGATAAAAATATAAAAGCATATTCTGAAATAAATCGAATTTTAAAGGAAAAGAGAAATTCACTAAAAAGCAGAGCTCAAGTTGTGTTGGCTATGTGTGGAATATACAAAAAAGAAGATAAAAGATCGGAAGAAAGAAAGAAATTGAGAAATGGAGAAGACATAAGAGGGAAGGAGGTGATGAATATGATAGAACGTCGTGCCCTACCCTCATCACCGACAAAGTTGATTCGCAATTAATTCATAAAGTGAGAACGGTGCGCCCCCGCCCCCCCCCCATGTATGGACCAATTTTACGCCACAGAGTTAGTGACGTAGTCAATGGGGGTCTGATCGAAAAGAAAACGGGTCAATTAGAGGGCATTTCGGTATCTTTACTTTAAGTATTCTTTCGAATAGGTGATGCTTTTTTTATTTTCTATTGAGGTTTCGCAGAATAATTGCGGAACCATGCATTAAAGATACTCGGGCATTTATCGACTGTTTCTTAAAACTGTGTCAAGAGACATGGACATCGTTTTTATTAGGGAGGAGGGGGTGGTGGAGGGTAAATTCATTTCGCCCTGATACGAGAAATGTATCCGTGTCCTATTATTTGTTTCCAATTACATTTCTGAATTGAGCCAGTATGGGTTTTCAAGGGTAACGCCCCTCCTTTTTCAATTCGTGTAAACTTATAGGACTATTATCATTAAGTAAAATAGACAAACATGGGGTAGCGTCTTCGTTAGGGAGGGGGGGGGGGGGAGGGGGTGCACCAGTCTAAGTCGTTGGATGAGAGGCAATTGGCCTGGCCATTGATTTCATAAGGTGAGGTGTGGGATATGGCCATCAGTCCTCTTGTCTCGCTCTTTTCCACTTTTCTCTCCATCTCCAATTCTCTCTCTCTCTCTCTCTCTCTCTCTCTCCCATCTCTCTCTCTCCCCCGACTCTCTCTCTCTCTCTCTCTCTCTCCCTCTTTCCTATGGCCATTCGGGAGGGGGAGGCGTGGTTCCCATGTCACTGCATTGTCCTGCAGGTATAAAATCATTGCATGGGCCATCCTAAATCTAAACTTAATGTTTTCAAAAGTTTGAGAAACACACTACTTACCATGGCCCGGTATCGATCAGACTTGGGAAGGAATTTGCTTTCAGGGTTAGATATGAACTTATAACGTCATTATCTTTATTTTCTGTATTCAATTGTCAAGCTTTGCTTATGATTGCGGTCTCCTGCACTTTTCCAACAGAACAGTTCGGATAATACTTTAAATTTATGATAATATGTTATGGAAATATTAAGTTTCGTTATTATATGTACATATATTATGTAAAAATACATTTTGACATGAAGAAATTATTGTTTGTATAATTTGTTGTATTATACCTTACATTTATATGTTCTTTGTTATTCAGTTATATTTTATTTGGAAAATGCAGAAATAAAAATAAAATCAAAATCAAATCAATTGCAAATGCTAATTTTTGAAAACAAAGGGAAATAACGAACGGTCTAAGCCTATCGAGTGTCGACAAAATATGCATCAATAGGTGCTATTCTCTTTAAATGATAACAAAAAAAAGATAGAAAGAAAGCCAAACAGTCAGACAGATGGAGGAAGAGAGGGAGGAGATGAAGGAGAGGGAGTGAGAGGAGTGGAGAGCGAGGAGATAAGGAGAGGAAAAAGAGAGAGTTGAGAGAGAGAGAGAGAGAGAGAGAGAGAGAGAGAGAGAGAGAGAGAGATGGGGGGGGGGGGGGGAGAGAGAGAGAGAGGAATGCATTCAATGAATTCAATGTACATACATGCTTTATAATCTATTCACCCATATCAAAACTTTAATGGGAGATTTTTAATATTTTTTCTCTTTCTTCTGATCATAATTCTTGCTATTTCTTTTAGAATACTGTTCAACATAATATTTGATTCACACGGTACGGTTTGGCTTATAATGCTGAATGTGCCTATAACACGCATTTACTTATTTGAGTTGATTTATATAAAAGCAAAAATTGAAACCTAAAAGGACGCCTGCAATCACTCAATTGTATTGACATGAGAAATTCGAGAGCCTGTGGTCATGTGGTATCTTAAATATATACATGTGTATATTTAAGATAACACATGACCACAGACACTATATCTCAGCTATCCAATCGTTGAAAACCTCACAATTGTCACAAATACATGAACGAATTATCCACTAAGATTTGTATGACTAAGATAATTTGATCGGTAAGACATACAGGCCCCATGGTATAATAACATGTACTTGCTAATACGGGATAGGCTTCGAATCGTATTGTCTTTTATTCAACCGAGGATCAGTGAAACATACAGCCAATTATTGCATGGATTTTTGTCTTAAGCCTTGCATTAGTTCCCTACGCCTCGTAATAGTATGTTACAATTATTCTCTAATCTTATGGGAGTTCATTCTCAAGAAGGATGGTTCATTATAATTATGTGGGTGAACCGATTGTTTTGGAATTAAATTACAATATGGTAGAATCCCCTAAAGAACATGCTTAGAACAGAGTTTTATGGTAATAAACAAGGTAATTTCCAAGTATATTCTCACGTTCTTTACATTTTATTCATAAATAGTTTATTTGTTTCCAGACGTTCATAATTCCGAAGGTACATTTTTAAAGATTCATACATGTACATCGTGTATTTAGAAAGGTTTGATACTCTCTGTGTTTGTGATTCCAAAGGTTCGTAATTCTAGAAAAAAAATGTACGAGAGCTTTATTTCATATTTCAGAATTAGGAACCTTATTTCCTTTCTAGTCATTTTAAACCTTATTTATTTTTTGGAATGAGGAGTCTCCAGAATAATGAAATATTACTTCATTTTCGGAATCATAAACATTATTTCACATTTGGAATTGGTTTGGAAATGCATGAACAGTGTATTGGAATTACGAACCTTTGAAAAAGCCAGTGTGCATTGGTAGAAGAAGAAGCAGGAGAAGAACAAAAAGAAGGAGAAGTAAGAGAAGGAAGAGAAGGAAGAAAAAGATGAAAGAAGGTGAAGAAGAAAGATGAAGGAGAGAGAGAGAGATGAGAAGAACAAAGAGAAGAATAAGAGAAAAGGGAAAACATTGTTAAAGATGAAGAAGCTGAAAAAGAAGGGTGGCTTTGAGCAAATATGTAATAATGTCGTACAGTGCAGTTTTTTTGTATACATATGAAGTTTTATAAAACACCCCTAGACAATATCGTTTGTTTGGACCTAGATGGGTGCCAACTCATATGCTATAACACAGAGTTAACACACTTCTGGCTCTGAAAAGACATTATCATTTTGTTACCTCTCATGACCACTGTCACATCTAGCCAATAGATGTTTCCTGTCAAGAGCAAGCCAGCTTTTACTTGGCAAACTAATAAATATGTGTACAGCATACAAATGTCAGAATTTCAATATCTGTTCACTTTTAATGTTTCGTTTATTCAAATATCTGTACATGATTTATGGAGATCAGCAATCTCATCTGTTGTATCATAAAAGAGTGACACGTTGTAAATGTAAATTTATTTGATGCAGCAGCTTTAACAGCCTAATCATATGACAAAAAATGTACCCTAAGAAATTATTAGTCAAGAGTGAATTGAGTAGGGGCAGGGTTACCTCGTGAATTACGCTGTACGTTTGTCAGTTGAATTATTTAAGAAGCATCTTAAAACACACCTATTTACATTGTAATTAACTGCATTACATTTCTATCATGTTTTTGGTTTGGTTTTAATCCAATTTATTTGTTTTGTAAAGCGCTTTGATCAGTTCTAAATTGGATATAGCGCTTAAAAAAAAAAAAAAAATCAATTCTTATTATGTGAGGATAGACTTGGGAGCAGTAACAGCAGTAAAATAATGAAAGCAAACTAAGCAAACAATCCAAAAAATATCAAAGTTGCACAAAACAAAATACACATGTACATGTATAATGAAAAATGAAAAAATGTGAGGGCATGGGAGGGGGGGGGGGGGTCATCTTTCATCCATAATGCTTTGCCCCCCTCTTCCTTTTTCTCACTATTTTGTCACGACTCATTCCCCCCCCCCCCCCATTTATCTAAAAAGATAGAGCATTCAATTCAATTCAATTCAATTCATCTTTATTCAACGATATAAAAGAAAATAGTACAATGCAATAAAACATATTGACATAATCATATAAATGTATAAAATTAACATATCGTTGAGCTAGGAGTTTTAGATTTGTCAATACAAAACAGAAATATGAACATTCAATATCAAGTTGAGTTCTATGAATGATATTTTAGGCACAAAAAGGGTTATAACTTTTGAGTTAACTTGAGACAGTTGTTAAAAGTTAAATAGTTGATTGTCCATAATGTCCTTTTTTCTCATCATGTGCCTTGCGCTTTGATCTTATCGAGTAAAGCTTCCATGTGGTACTTCATGAGAGGCTGCCCTCTCCGTGACTTCTTCTTCAGCTTCTGATGCGAGTCCATCTTCTTCTTATTGTAGCGCTCCAGGGCTAGCGCCCTCTCTGTTTGCTGCTGTGTGAGGGCCTGTAGAGAGAAATAAAGAAAATGTAATTTAAAGGGATCCGGTAACTTTGTCTCAGATCCTTAAACGGAATCCTTGATTTAGCTCATGCTGCAATCATCATTACAAACCTTTAGGTCAGTCAGGAACCCCGTGACTTTCACAAGCCGATCGCCTGTCTGATTATCAAGATATTTATGATTGTAAATCGAAACCCAATTTTTGCTTTTCTCCTAACGGTTGTCATAACACTATTACGGAAAGAGAGAATGGTAAAACCGGTCACTCAAAGCTTTTTACTTTTTTGAGGCACTTCATGATCATTTTAAAGAACAATTTTCTTAGGGCTTCAATATTACACCATATCACAGACACTGATAACATGTAGGGCCATGCCTTAAACAAAAATGATACCCCTTTCTCTTATCTATTTTGAATAATGGATCAAGAAATATTTGACATTATGATTTCTAAACTGTGCTTTTAATACATTACTGACAGTTTGATGTAAATAAACAAGACAAAAAGAAAAAGAGCTTTCAAAAGTGAGGTCACTAACTTCAATACATGGAAATCATGAAGATTGCAAATATATTTCAAAGTTACGTACTAATTGTCAACCCAAAAAACAAATAAAACTTCAAGTACATAAACACGTACAACTTTTCTAATCTTAAGACTCACAGACTTTACCAGCTTGCCCCAATTGTTAGTACATGTATTATATTATTCTTTTGTTTCTTATTGAACAACAAACAAGTAATATGCTATTAATTTTGAGTACAGCCCACATAAAATTAAAAAGTTAGAGTTACAGATATTCTTTCATTAAGTGATTTTCAACTTCAAAAAAGTTTCTCATTCATTGTTAGAAAATGCACTTGGCCAATCAAATTCCAAATACAGTAAGTGATTATGAATAACTCTGTATAGCTCAAAGTCACATACATGTAAGTCAAAGATTCCTGTAAGTCAAATCAATCCTTTACTATGCAAAAGGCATGTTCATTCCGCCTTCCTAAGTCAAATTTTGCAGAAGTCAAACTCTGAACAAACTTGACTACCGTAATAAACGGTGTATTAACCGCACCTTTTTTTTTGTTAATGCCCCTCCACCTGGCGCTATGCCTGGCAATGTCTCCCAGCTAAGTAATCTGTGTGTTGACTCACCACTCGGAAACTAGAACAACACTCAAATTTGTCTGTCCTCTTGGTTTGAAAGTAATCCTTCTGATAGATTTCAATATGTAGTTGATAAAAATAATTCCTCCAATTTTTCTTCTATGACATGGTGTACTACAAGGTTCTAACCTAGGTCCTCTAGTGTTTTTTAAGTCGGCAAAAAAAAAAAGGCGGAAAAAAAAAAAACCCCGGGGTAATGCAAAACAAAAACTGTTATTTGTCACTGATGACACGTTTTGTGAAATGCCCCCCCCCCCCAGTACTGTAAAACGTGTCACTTCCTTTAGTTACTTTTTACCTGTAATCTCATCTCCTCAGCTCTTTTCTTCTCTGTGAATTCCGCCTGGGCTTTGGTGAATCTGTTCTTTGCATTTTTCTTGCCTCCTCGCTTCTTGAATCTCTTCTTTTTCTCTGCCCCTTCTCCAGTTTTCGGATCACCTTTATCCTTTATCTCACTCCCATCTTTATGTTCATTCCCCTTGCCGGTTTGTCTGCTCACATTGCTTTCTGAAGCTGAGTTGCTTTTGCCTTCGACATTGTCCGCTGTATCTCTTTGAATGTTTTGCGCAAATGCATCAATGTCAGGAGCGACTGTTTCATTGTCGGTTGTGCTCTGGTTCCTCTCTGTTTGAAGTCTGTGTTTTGTTCTCAATTTCTGATAGTTGTTGAGAAATCTTCTCTTCCTTTTGTCGGCATACCCTTGACCTGCATTTGAAGATTTGATTCAAAAGGGAAAAAAAAACAAAGGCGTTAGGTCTAGATCTAGATCTGACAAAGAGTTGAAACTGAAAATAATGCTAAACCAGGCTAGAAATTCTAGTAAATCTATAATCCTACAAGTACAAATACTACACTACAGTTTACACTAAGAAAAGTAACAGACTGCACTTGTGTCCATCATTAATAGAGATTAATCTTGATCTTTATCTTGGCATGCGCTGGCTATGCACCTTGTCCGCTGAAAGTCCCGGCTCGGCGGCCGGAGCTCTCAAGCCGAGCCTGCACCACTGGCCTGGCTCGGCTGCTACTTGTACTCACGCGATCACGCGGCTGAAAATCATAATTCATAGTCGAGTTACATTTACGAATACGATACCTTCTTTTAAATTTCCAATGACTTTTGACCGATAAGCATGCTTCAGCGATGACTTCATTCCTGGAGATTGATTTCTGCTATTCAATCTACTTTTAGCTCCAAACTTGTGTGAATTTCCATCTCGATCTCGTGGTCTGTCCATGGAGAGCGCCATGTTGAATGAAGAATAATAGCTGCTTATATCTAGGCGGTGTAGTTTGGAGGTGCCAATTTGATAAGTGCATGCTACATCATAAAGGTCTACTAATATTTTTTTTGCGAGGCTAAGAAGCAACCGAGCAGCCCAAAATATCCTATATGTATTGATCGATAGCTAGTAAATAAATAAATCTCGGACATCATTTGTTGGGGTATTATTAATTGGGGTAACCGGTTGCAGAATCAAAACAAATCATTCATATGTAGTCATGACTCAGTTTGTTTGTGTCTCCTTCGGATCAAGACAGTTATGTAAAGTTCTTTGATTATAAAATTAAATTAAGTTAAATTAAATGAATAGATCTATATGACCGACTTGAAATATATTTTATTTTACAATAAAATTGCAACTGTCTGATCATGACGCTGTGAGACACTTCATATCAAAAAGTGTTTATTTCACAACTCAGATGGCTGGCATATTTGGCGATTTTGCGTCAAAACAAGGGCAGAATATAGGCTCTAAGTACAGTTGTACTTATGTTTGTCTCATGGAGGAGGGCCTGTAAATATAAACAACTGACAAAAAGCATTCCATTATCTGCCTGGGCAAAACCCCACATACACATTGCATGTGTTTATATGTTTTGTTTTGCACATGCAGAGTGGGATATGTTCTTTGCTCGTATCGTCCAAAATTTAGTTTTTGTTGTCCTTGCTCTTTCAAGTAACTGTTTTCCCCACCAAATTTCTAACTACATGCATGCATAATGCCGGTTATTCAAAGTCATTTTAAGAGACACCACACATTAAGCAGTAATTAAGCTAAGGTTCTCAAGCTAATTTACTTTGTGATATTATTTTTTCGAAATGTCAGTGACTCACGGCTAGCTATATAGCCACAATAGGGGGCGGGGGGGGGGGGGGGGAAGGTTGGGGCTGACATGCCAAAATAATTATAACAATGGTGATAATGATATAATGACAATTTTGATTAAATTTTATTACACATAAAATTAATATAATAATAATAGTTATAATTAATAATAATAATAATAACAATAGTTATAATACTAGATAGATAGATTATTTTATTAACCCATCAAGGTGGACACGGTGCAGGAGGGAAAGTAGAGAAGAGGATATCAATAGGATAATAACGATGATAGAATTAATAATGATAGAAATAATAATAATGATGATGAAATTTAAATTAAAAAAAAAAAAAATCGTCCCATTTTATGTTGGTTGGCACATATAATTCTCCCCTCCCACTCCCTCTAGCCCAATTTTATGAAACGATCACCTTTGAGAATTCAATCACAAATTTGGCAACGCAACTTTTCATCAATTTAAACGATACAGCTCAGCCTCCTTATTTTAAGCATGGAGGTGTAGGGAACTCGAACTGCCATCGAAATCGATGTTTATTTAGGGATTTTATATTACATGCAATATTAATTTTCATATTTTAGATACTCGTAAGAAATCTAAGATCATGAAGGAGGTTTTGATGGTGGCGGAGAAGCCACAGTTAGCCCAGTCTCTGGCTAAAATCCTGTCCCAAGGAAGTCTGCGATCTCGCCGCGGAATGAATGGAGCGTGCAGTGTCCACGAGTACACGGGGACGTTCCGGGGACAGCAGGCTAAATTCAAGGTATGAGTTGGGTGGGGGCTGCTCCAGGGTTCAGCCTTCATTCATGTCAGGCCGGTCAGCCACTCAGATCATGACCAAATACAAAATCTAAGAAGATGTGCCTGTGTTTTGAGTTTGGCTTGATTGTGTGTGTGCATTATGTTGCAAATTGTAGACTATTTCCAACACATTTTTTGGGGGGCAAAAATTCTCTGGATTCTGCCCAAAGTTGAACTTGAAAGTAGAAAAATAGCCTGGAAATAGAATAGTTGGTGAAACTGAAAGTTATGCACTCGCAATCGACATGTCTAAAATTCAACCAACCCTAACCCTAAGTAAGTACTGTGGTTGTGCACGTGCACGTCTGAATTCAGACAATCATGAAAGTCCAATAATCATGAATCATTACATGATCATGACAACTTATTTGTTATTTTTCTATCTGTATACTCTTTCTTGAATTAAATTCTCTGTGCACTTGTGCAGTCATATAACTTTCTAGATCTAGTCTACTTCTATTTCTACTTTATGTCACCAACTGTTGTTAACAAAATGTACGCATTCACAGGAACGACACATGACAGACAACAAGGTACAGGAAATTTATAGGGAAGGTGGGCATGAGAAAGAAAGAGGTTGACTGTATTGAGAAACAAGGATCTTCATGTTTGTGTCTCTCATTAGCCATGCATAATTAATAAGGGGTCTACATGTTGTCGCCATCTTCAAAAAAGGAGATAGAACTCAATGTGGAAACTACAGAGGAATATCGCTATTGTCAATAGCAGGGAAAGTTTTTGCCAGGATCCTTCTGAACAGATTGAATACCCACATAGCACCAGATATATTGCCGGAGACGCAATGCGGATTTAGGAACAACCGCAGCACAGTAGATATGATCTTCTGCCTCAGACAACTACAGGAGAAGTGCATTGAGCACAACCGATCCCTCTATGTGGTTTTTGTCGATTTCACGAAAGCCTTTGACACTGTTGGTAGGACAGGTCTTTGGGAACTACTACGAAAGTATGGATGTCCCGAGAAGTTCACCGGAATGGTAGAGTCCTTACATACGGGTATGATGGCTAAAGTCAAGGAAGCAGGCGAAACATCCCATAGCTTCCCTGTAAGTAACGGTGTAAAACAAGGATGTGTGTTGGCCCCTACGCTGTTCTCCATCTTTCTCTCGGCGATGCTGGAGGAGGCCTTTGCGGACTTTGAGGAAGGCGTTTACATACAATCACGTCAAGACGCCGACCTATTCAATGTCGCACACTTCAAAGCTAAGACGAAGTCTACACAGATTCTCGTGAGGGAACTCCTCTTTGCAGATGACAGTGCTCTTGTTTCTCATACACCAGAGCAGATGCAACATGTTATAGATGTATTTTCATCAGCTTCATCATCTACAAATAAACATCAAAAAGACTGAAGTACTATTCCAACCAGGTACAGACCACCTAGAGGAGGAGGAGATCCTAGTGGATGGGACAGCCCTAAACCAGGTAGATGACTTCACTTACCTCGGCAGCACTATATCCAAAGACGGACGCATCGACTCTGAGCTGGTGAAAAGAATGTCAAAGGCCAGCAGTGCCTTTGGAAGACTGCGAACCAGGCTATGGAACAACCATCATGTCTCAACAAGAGTGAAGTGCAAAATCTACAGGGCTATCGTCCTATCCACTCTCTTATACGGTGCGGAAAGCTGGACTCTCTACACAAGTCAAGTAAAGAAACTTCACGCGTTCATGATGAGACACCTTCGAGCAATCATGAGAATCAGTTGGAAGGACAAGGTGACCAACAAAGAGGTACTAGAGCGAGCAAACCTTCCTTCTATGGAGGACCTGCTCATCAGGAAGAACCTACGATGGACAGGCCATGTCATCAGGATGCCCTCTGATAGGTTACCATAGCAAGTACTATTCTCGCAACTACCCGCTGGCGAAAGAGGGATTGGTCGTCCACGGCTTCGCTACAAGGACACGATCAAGAGGAACCTTAAGCGGAGGCAAATTGAAACCAAGACTTGGACAACTGCTGCAGGCCAGCGAGCTGTATGGAGAACAGCTGTAAAGTGAAAATGAAGGCGGTCATTGTCGCTTCGCGACAGACAGCTACTACTACTACTACATGTATACAAATACATCTACTCTTATATTTTCAAGAAATTTTCTGCAAGCTTATATGATCCATTTGTTCATTGTTTTAGCAATGCTCTCTTTCTTTCTTCTTGCTTCCTGCTGGAAAATGTTGATAGAAGAAAAAATGAACGAACGATTTCCTTTGGTTCACATATTTTCCTAGTCTGGAGAAGTATATTTGTATAGAATGTGCAAATCAAGGGTGAAGTTTAAACATTTGGAGCTAAAAAGGCAATAATTTGATGCTACTTAAATAAGGAGAATAAAAATTACTGGCTTACTACGTAAAAGTTATCATTATGAGAGAGATTTCACATCAAAATCGCTCCCTTACCGTATATGTACAGTATATGTTGGACTCGCCAACATCCATGACCAATGTTTTTGTAATCATTTGTTTACATCCTAGATGACATCAGTGTGTGGTCACGTCCATGGCCTGGACTTTCATCCTCGTTTTAACAACTGGGATAAAGTAGATCCAGTAAGTAGATATAAAGTCTCCTACTACCTACATGTGCATGTAGTGTTTAGTCTTGTTCATGTATGGCCGGGTAAAAATCCCACTAAGCCACAGCTACTTAAAAGATGGAGATCAAGATAAGAGATTCAACAACAAATTAATTATTATTTAGAAGAAGAAGAGGAAGAAGAAGAAGAAAGAGAAGGAGGAGGAGAAGGAGAAGGAGGAGGAGAAGGAGAAGGAGAAGGAGAAGGAGAAGGAGAAGGAGAAAGAAGGAGGAGGACAGGAAGAGGAAGAGGAGAATGAGGAAGAGGAGAAGGAGGAAACAAATTGATTTTATAATATACAGATCACAGAGTATGCAAAATATACTTTATATTGACTTCTACATTATACATCACACCTTCGTTACCAGCATGTGCCATTCATTTACATGTACAATACTTTGCTGTTGCTGGTTAAGAGGCTGATTTTAATCCTTTGTTCTCCACAGCCACAAAAATAAAAAATGATTTGCCAAAACTCTTCAGTAAGAAACTAAACAAAGTCAGTTATTCAGATTGTTAGATCATGCTAATATAAACAAATATAAACAAATTGAAATTTGTGCTCAATTCCAAATAGATGTAACACATTTACTTACATGTATTTGTAGGCTATGCATTTGACAAGAATGTTCAACACTGTATCACTTTCCTTCTATAGTCAGAGTTGTTTGCTGCCCCCACAGAGAGGAAGGAGGCCAATCCTAATCTTCACATGCCTAAATTTCTCGCTATAGAGGTGAGAAGATATTTGATTCCTCTAATTTCTTGGACACACGTCATGTCATTATTCTCTAGTGCAAGATGCACGACAGTGTATTACCCACTTCCTTCAACATATCTTTGATAATTTACTTGGATCTTTGTCATCTCCTAATTTCTCATGAATTATTGTTATGGAACAAAATGATTGAACAAAGTAAATTGAGTCATGAAGTGTAAAAGAGAAGTTGACTTCAATATGATGTATTTGTTTGTTCATTAAGGTTTAGAGTTGTGGCAATTTTTACCATTTAGAGCAAGGTAAACGAAATTTAGTAGCAAAAAGAAAACAATAACCTTGGCAAGTCAGGTCAAGTACACTCGACCATATAGTAACTAGTCTTGTAACAGATTGAAGACGTGCTCCATAAATCTGTAGATAAACTATATTCACTTTCCTGGGGTTAAACTTAAAACGAAGACTGAAGTTAGTATGCCTTTCTGAATACCAGTCTATAGCCTTCACACAGACATGTATTATGAGGTGTTCTGGTCATGTGGATACGTCACTGGACTGGATTACAAGGTAACAAATTGAAGACGTGCTCCATAAATCTGTAGATAAACTATATTCACTTTCCTGGGGAATAAACTTTAAACGAAGACTGAAGTTAGTATGCCTTTCTGAATACCAGTCTATAGCCTTCACACAGACATGTATTATGAGGTGTTCTGGTCATGTGGATACGTCACTGGACTGGATTACAAGGTCCGCGGTTCGAGTCTCGCTGCTGCACTAATGTCCTTTGGAAAGACATTAATCTACTTTTGCCACACTCGACCCAGGTGATGTAAATGGGTACCTGGCAGGAATTAATTCAGCCATGCTAAAGCCGGAGTAATAAATGTGGAGCGCCAGGAGTGTCAACTTGCTATACAAGAACCAATTATTATTATTACGGTATGCACATTTTTCCCCTGTGTATGCTTTGCAGGGCAAGGGCTGTGACTACCTGGTGCTATGGCTTGACTGTGATAAGGAAGGTGAAAACATCTGCTTTGAGGTTATCAGCTGCGTACAGGGTGTCATGACGAGACCAACCGGAAGGGAACAGGTAAAGGAGGAATGGGAATGGCATAGTTGCCAACCATACCTATTTTGGAGGAATGATTCCTATTTTTTGGTCTTCAAGATACTGTTTGGAACCCTAGATTCATCTCTTTTTCTGAAATGTTTTTCTTTCTTAAAGTGAAACTGAGATCTTCAATTGTGACATTTGTACAGTGATACCTGCTTTAGCACCAATTTGTACAGAATGACCACTTGTCTGCAAGACCAAATTTGTCATTCCCTTTGAAAAGTGATTAGCATTGACACCTGTACTACATAGAGACCACTTTTCTTGTTTCCCTTAAGTGGTCTTTCTTTACAAGATGCACTGTATTGAGATGACTAGTGGGGCATGCAGGAAAGTTGCAATTGATTGCAAGTTTTAAAATTTGCAACTGATATTTGCAATCGATTGCAACCCCCTGTTTTGCAATGCCCCACTAGTCTCCCAAATTTCCTTGGATTTTGTTAGGATTAAAGTTTTAACAATTAAATTAAGTTCACTAGATCTAGCTTTTATTCTCACCCTCTCTCTTTCTCTCTCTCTCTCTTACTAATGGGGCGGTGCAAGAAATTTGGGTTGCGATTAATTGCGAATTTGCAATTAATCGCAAGACTTACATGTACGCTTGCAATTGGTTGCAACTTTCTTGCAACCCCCCATAATTGAACATTGAGTTACATACCTTCTCATCATCTTTTTCCACCTCTCTTAAAACTAGGTAATCTTCCGTGCTAAATTCAGTGCCATCACAGACAAGGACATCAGACAGGCCATGAACACCCTGGTAGAGCCTAACGAGAACGAGGCCTTGTCTGTCGACGCAAGGCAGGAACTGGATCTCAGGATTGGATGCGCTTTTACTCGCTTCCAGACCAAGTACTTTCAGGTATCGTGAGATCGTAGACCTGTATTTCATGAAAACAGAGTAATCTAAACTTTATACAGTAGGCTTACGGTTGTACCATGTCAGAGAGAGAGGGGGGGGGGTGGGATCGGAGAGTCCTGAAAAGGACTGTCAGTAATCTTTCTGTCTTGAGTGTGTGTGTAGTCCTGAAAAGGACTGTTGGTAATCTTTCTTGAGCCTGTTGGAGAGGTTGGGTGGTAGGAGTGGATCAACATTTTGAACATAATGACTTTCCGTCGTCAATCTAAACTAAACCCATAGCTTTTCAGAATTTTCAAAAAGGTCTACAGGAATCACCTATTACCTAGCAGTTTGAATGGGGCTTTGGGGGCTCAAGCCCATAGCTTAATTTTGGGGTATTTATATTTATTTCACTGCTTCAAACAAGATAAAACATTCCAAAATATATCATAGCATTTTTATCTCAAAATACGATTCCCATACCAAAGCTCAAGATTAAATCTCTCTTTTAAATTACATTGTTCATGATCTGTTCAGTTTTGTACCAAGCTCCAACCCTAGTTTTTGTTTATATTTGTATTTCAATGACAGTGATTTAGCTGTAGAATGATATATCTCCACAATTGTTATTTTTCTTCATCTTCTTCTTTTATTCTCTCTCCTTCATCCTCATTCTCTCTTACAGGGTAAATATGGTGATCTGGACAGTACCCTGATCTCCTACGGTCCTTGTCAGACTCCAACCCTTGGCTTCTGTGTGAACAGGCACGATAAGATCCAGTCCTTCAAGCCTGAACCCTTCTGGGTCATTCAGATACAGGTACAGCACCTAAGATGTGACCGAGTAGCATAAGCCTCTTCATACGTAAAGTCAACCATTTTAAATGTAAATGTGAACTTGGCAACTGGTCATCTGATTGTATGGTTTATAGTTACCCTGAACTGACTATGCTGTGAAGTATGCTTGGTCAGTGCCAACATGTTTCCTTCGGGGCTAGTAGGGCTATGCCATCGTCAGTCTGTATGGTTGGTACACAACAGCAACCATAAATGAATGCACTGCACTCCCCCCCCTCCCCCAGCCACCCCTACATGAGTATCAATTATCAAAATGACTAAGAATGGCTTTAACAAATAAATATTCATATTAATTGTTATTATTACAGGATGTTTTTAATTTTCAATGAGCATAACTATTCATACAGTCACTGTACAAATCTTAGAGTTACATTAGATGCAAATATTACATACTGTAGCATTCAGAATTTCTCAAATAATATTGTATTTCAAAGAAGCCACATGCTGAGGTTGAAATATAATAGCATGATGAGGGGAATCTGAATTGGGAGGTGAATTGAACAATGCAATGCATACAATGTTTGTTATATATATACTTCAGGTTAGTTGGGATCTCGTGCCTTGTTCCTTTGGAGTCGGGCCCTCTCAATTGCATTCACGCCTTCGCGTCCGATGCGCACAGCCAAGACAATGCAAGCAATGGATACCCACAGGGAAGTGAGATGCACAGTGAAATCATTTGTCTTGCCTTTAATTTCTCTTCTAGGTAACTCACGAGAGTGGAAGAAAGCTAAACCTTGACTGGGATCGAGTGAGAGTCTTTGACAGAGAAGTGGCTCAGATGTTTCTCAATATCATCAAAACACAGAAAGATGCAAGGTGAGATATATTTAGATTCCAAGAAATGAAAGAAATGAAGTCTGGAATAGTACATTTCAGGATGTCATATTCTTTTCTGTCCTCCTTCCTCATCGTGAAGTTTGTTTTTCACATCATTTCCCCTAGCATAAGTATTACTGGCCCCTAATAAAAGGAGCAATTGAGCAATACGTTATTTTGATTCCACTTGAAAATATTTCAGCTATAAAGTAGATAACTTCAAAAGAGTTTCAGCGCCAATCACCAAGATTTTTTTGCATAGTCTTCTTTTAGCTTATGGATCAGATTGATAGTTGAGGAATCAGTGTCATTGTCACCTTCAATTTTTTTTTCTTCTGGAATATTTCACCTTGTGTTGTTTTGAGTTGTTTTCTTCATGTCACAAGCTGTTTGGATGAAAATGATGTTCTATCCCTGAACCCCAAATAATAGCTAATACTTTTCTGTCCTCCCACTAGGATTACATCGGTGTCGCAGAAGGAGAAAGCCAAACAGCGCCCCCAGGCTCTCAATACGGTAGAGTTGATGCGTGTGGCGAGTTCATCGCTTGGTATGAGTCCCCACCATGCCATGCAGATAGCCGAGAGGCTCTACATACAGGGATACATCAGCTACCCAAGAACAGAGACAACAAGCTATCCTGAGAGCTTTGACCTTAAGTAAGATCACATTAGTAGTTACCAATGATACAGAAATCTTTTCATGGTTGGGGTAATCATAACATGTACATGTAGTTAAGCTACCAACCTTAAGCGTTTAAGGTTGGTAGAAGCTTATACTTCATGTTAGTATTTACCAGATTACTAACAAAAAAATCTAGAATTATGAATGATGGCTCGGTTGATGCAAGGAACTGTCATAAATTGCAAATATTTAATGTTCACTTTTAACTATTCACTTTTATGCTGTAATAAATGAAAAATTTAGAAAAATATATTCTTAAAACAATGAATAAAGAAGAAAGTGCATCAATATTTTGTTAGATCCATCAGTATGATGGTAAGCATTCCGGAACAAATCCTCCAGACATTTCAAGAAAGTGAATCAATAAAAAAATAAAAAACCAGCTTGGCATACGATATTCATTGAAAAATGCAACTATTCAAACATCAAGCTTATGCTCATTTCTCTTAATTTCGTGGAAATTCTCTATTGACAGCATACTATCAATATGCATTTTTATTTAAGACTCATAGGAGTGGATTATCATACTCATGGGAATTTCTAAACCATTTGATGTTTACCCAATGATGGATGTTGTCAATCCCCAGGGTTAACTTTCAATGACCCACAGACCCCATGTAATGCTCTGCATTTTCCACCAGTTGCCCCACATGAAAAAGTCAACATCTTAAATTTCCCTCAGATGAAGACTCTCTTCATTTCTTGGCGGGACCACAGGTTTTCTATGTGCGAGACTTGTACACTCATTAATGGTATTTCCACCAAGTCTTGCATTAGTAAATTATAACCTACTGCACATGGAAACTGACGACCATCTCCCTCTAATTTCTAGGGGTACCTTGCGGCAACAGATGTCGGCGCCCTGGAGGTCCGAAGTAAAGGTCCTCCTTGACGGAGAATTCACCAAGCCCAGGAAAGGAACCGACGTAGGAGATCATCCTCCTATCACGCCGATGAGAGCCGCTAACGAGAGTGAGGTGGGAGGAGAGGCGTGGAGGCTGTATGAGTATATTGCCAGGCACTTCATCGCTACAGTGAGTACATTTATTTTTTGAAATTAGGGGTTGAAGGGTATGCGATGGGAAGGTATTCTCTGAATGTTTTGAGGGATGGACTGAAAAAAAAGTGTTGTGATCCAGTGGATAAGTCTTTGAACTGTGAACCATGAGGTACAGGGTTTAAATCGCTGTCAAAGCACTGACGTCCTTTGGAAGACATTAATCTACACTTGCCACACTCTACCCAGGTAAGGTACCTGGCCGGAATAATTTTTTGGAAATGTTCGAGGGTAATCATAAGAGAGCAACAGGAGTGGCGAAATGCCAGACATGAACACTTTACAAGACACTTCTATTATTATTCTTATAAGTATCATCATTTGTTACTTTTTTCACTTGTGAACATCACCTTCCTCTACATCATCACATGTATTTCAATACTTCTGTCCCTTTCCTCCAGGTGAGCCCCGACTGTCGCTACCTGCTCACCACCATCCGTCTGATGATCGGAGAGGAGGGCTTCAGCTGCACCGGTAAGACCCTGATCAGCGATGGCTTCACTGCAGTCATGCCCTGGCAGGCCATCCAAGATGAAGAGAACCTTCCCAACGTTACCAAGGGGGATATGTGCTCCATTGAAGAGGTAATCTCTTCTCTTTGTACAGTGAAACCTGTCTATAAAGACCACCCAAGGGAGACACGAAAACTGGTCCTCACAGGCAGGTGGTCTTTATGTACAGGTTCCTTTAGTATATGCTTCAATGAGAAGCCCTTTTCAAGGGAAACAAAAAATGTGGTCTTTGTAAACAGATGATCTTTCTATACAGGTGATCACTAAAGCAGGTTTGACTGTACCGTTTTTTGGTGGTGTCGTGGTATAGTGGATACGGTTCGAGTCCTGCAGTGTCACTAATGTCCTGTGGCAAGGCATTAATCTACATTTGCCACTCTCATCCAAGGCGTTAAATGGATACCTGGTAGGATATGAATGTTAATGTGGTCGGAGTGGCATGTGTGTACATGTAAAATGGTGCCTTGCTGGAATCCTTATACATTTACCATGCAAATACCACAAATTTCCATCTTTAGATGGACAAAAGATATGAAGCTTATGAATCTTCTAAAATATACTGAAGACCTACCTTCAGAGAGTCCTACTTTTTGCTACAGAAGGTGGCAGATATGCAGTTCCTTTCACAACTCGACTAATGTTCAAACAGTGACTGAAGTAATGCCTTCATCGTACAGTCAAACCTGTCTATAGCGACCGCCCAAGGGAAACACAAAAAGTGGTCTTTGTTGACAGGTTCCTTTAGTAAATAGTACATGTTTCAATGAGAAACCAGTTTCAAGGGAAAAAAAAAAGGTCTTTGTAGACAAGTTCCTTTAGTACATGCTTCAATGGGAAACTATCTTCAAGGGAAAACAAAAAAGTGGTCTTTGTAGACAGGTTCCTTTAGTACATGTTTCAATAAGAAACCATTTTCAAGAGAAACAAAAAGTGTGGTCTTTGTAGACAGGTGGTCACTATCAGGGCTCAAATTAATTTTTTGTCCACGGGGGCTCTTCCCCCCAAAAAAAGAGCCCCCGTGAGCCTTCTCACGGGGGCTTTTTTAGTACTGACGGGGGCTCTTTTTTATACAAATATCCATTGAATTGGTACGTATGATACTCCTCAATTATTTGCTATTTCATCATTATCATTTCAATCAGCATTTTCCCTCTTACAAATTTACAAGCTACATACATGTAGCTGTTACTGGCCTGTGTATATAATATATACGCATACAACACTGATCTTTATGATGTCTTTAACGTGACATATCTTCTTCTCCCCTTGCAAACGAGAAAGAAAACAAGGTCATTAAAAGGGATTAGGTGACAAATAATGATTGTGATTCAAATTGATGCGAATATTTGTTTGAATAAGCACTGCTATTCACCCGAATCTTCTTTGTAAAAACAAATTTTACAAATCTCAGCCATGCTTATTGAGTTGAGACGTTCCATTCAATGTAAAATACTAATTAAAGAATACACTTCTCCTAATCTGAAAGTGATCTTACAACACAGTGGCAGATTTGCATGGCTGAGATTTGTAAAAGTCGTTTTTACAAAGAAGATTCTGGTGAAAAGCATTGCTTATTCAAAAAAATCCTTGCATCAATTTGAATTACAATGATTATTTGTCGCATGATCCTTTTATTAAATAACCTTGTTTTCTTTTTTTGTTTGCAGGGGGAAAAGAAGCTATGTCACGTTAAGAAATCATAAAGATCAGTTGTATTATGCGTATATACATTATGATACCAGAACAAAATGTTGATTATCAGAATGTCATTTTGGAATACCTCTATACAAATAACACATTGTCTTTAGCCCGTATCAGTATTAGTATGATCCAATATAAAGCTATTATTCTTTATTTAATTCAGTATAATGCTTTTCCTCAAAAATAATTTTGCCATTTTGTTAGGGTTGAGACGCTAAGAAATGGTTTCAAATGTACATTACACGAACCCTGAACCATTGCAAAATGATGGTGGTTCTCTCTCTCTCTCTCTCTTTACCTTAATCATGCATTATCAACTACATATAAAGCAGCAACCAAAAACTTAGGGTTATCTGAGATAGGTGAAAGTAAGAGTTAAAAAGAAAGTCATGCTAAAACGGCGCTTCACTTCCCCCCCCCCCATGAAAAAAATAAAATAGATTAGTAGTCCTCCTCTCCAGCACCCCCCCCCCCCCCCCGCTTTAATATCACATTTTCACTTGGTAGCCCAAGGGGGCCGGGGGTGGGAGGAGGGTGTTAAACCCCTAACCCCCCCCCCGTAGATCTGCCCATGTTACCATATCATTCCACGACATCTTGGTCTTCCTCTTCTTCTCAATAGGGACTTTTAGATTTGCGTGGACGTGGACGTGTTACGTCCTTTTAAGGCACTGGCAGTCACATGTGACGTCCTTTTAAGCACTGGCACTGCCTTAAAAGGAGGTCACACGTTTCAGTCCACGTTACCATCGTGCAAATTTAAAAGTCCCTAATATTGATTTATTGGTCGAGGTTCATTATTTGCTAGTCATTTGAAATCACCAGATTTCAGCGGGTAAACGCTTTCACAACGAAAAACTTCTCCATGACCAGGTTTCTGCCCTTGCGCGATCGCCTCCAGCTCCAGCAGACATAGCGCGGCAGCGTGCACACGTACCGCTACTAAGGGCGCAGTATATAGGCCTATAACCACTGCTGACGGCGGCACTGCACTGTGAGCTGAATCGGTAATAATAGGCCTACTCATAAAACAAGAAATCTTGCACGCTAATCTAAGTTCCATTTCATTTGAAAATTGAAACTCAATATTGTGTTAAAGTTATAACAGAAAAGATAATCTTTATTTTATAATTCCACGGGGGCGATTTTTAATTTTGCAATCGCCCCCGTGAGCAACCTGACGGGAGCGATTATGTAGCTCACGGGGGCGAATCGCCCACCGCCCCCGTGTATTTTGAGCGCTGGTCACTATAGCAGGTTTGACTGTAGTAGTACACAAGTGCATTCAGTCAATGTTTGTATTCCTATCTCTCTCTCTCTCTCTCTCTCTCTTTCTCTCTCTCTCTAGGCCAAGCTGAGTGAACGCCAGACCAGCCCTCCCGACTATCTGACCGAAAGTGAACTGATCTCCCTCATGGAGAAGCACGGTGTAGGTACAGACGCCAGCATACCCGTTCACATCGAGAACATCTGTCAGAGGAACTATGTGAAGGTGGAGAGTGGGCGTCGTCTAGTACCCACAAGGCTTGGCATTGTTCTGGTCCATGGATATCAAAAGGTAATTTTTCTCCATACCTTTTTTTTTCAAACGCATAAATACTGATTTCTTTAGGAAGATGCTGAATGTTTAATCACTTTTGATTCCTGCACATACAATAATATTATGAATTACATATATTGTATTCTTATCTCCACATGTGTTCTACATCCATCTCTGCCTGGAAATAGCAATATGATTGTTTGTGAAGTTTCTCAATTTGAGCTTCACAAATATTGCTTTGGTGACTCAAATTAGGCCATTCTTTGCTAAGTTATTTGTTATTGGACATTCTGTAGTCACATTTTAGCCTGAAATCTGAATCGAGATCCATCTTAATATACCACTGTAAAAGGAGAAATATACAGTTTACAGTGATTTCATACACAACTAGCTAAGTAGCAGTGCCCATGCATCGACAGTTACTGCATTGTGTACAAAATATAATACACACCTCTAATTGTGCTTGAAATCTCATTTTGCTGCTTCCGATTAATAAATTGATCCAGACCTGTCTCTACCACCATGCGATCTCGGTTGAGGAGCAGTTAACCTTCTAATTGTGATGAAAAACTCTCATTTTGCTGCTTCCAATTAATAGATTGATCCAGACCTGTCTCTTCCCACCATGCGATCTGCGGTGGAGGAGCAGCTAAACCTGATCGCGCATGGCCAGGCCGACTTCAACTCTGTTCTGATACACACCATAGACATCTTCACCAGGAAGTTCCTCTACTTTGTAGATCACATACAAGCAATGGACGATCTCTTTGAGGTCTCCTTCTCGCCTCTGGCTGCCACCGGGAAACCCATGTCAAGGTAAATGATAGTGATGATGATGATGATGATAGTGTTGATGGTGATGGCGATAGTGGTGATATTGATGATGATGATGTTGGTGATATTGATAGTGATGATGATGACAATGATGGTCATATCAATGATGATGGTGATGTTGGTGATAGCGAGGATGATGATGGTGATGATGATGATTGTGGTGGTGATGATGATGGTACAAGCCATAGATGATCTGTTTGAGGTTTCCTTCTCGCCTCTGGCTGCCAACGGGAAACCCATGTCCAGGTAGGGATAGATATGATGAGGATGAGGAGGAGCAGGAGGAGGATGATGATGATGGTGGTGATGATTATGATGATCATGATGATCAAGAGGATTATGATGACAGTGATGACGATGATAATGACGATGATAATTATGAGGAATGTTATTGTATCTGTTTTTATTTAAACAGGGTTTATAATTTTGATAATGATTGTGATCAGTGTAGTGATTGTGATTGAGGTAAAAAAATCTAATACAATGATAGTGTGTACAAATTTCATGGTATCTTGGATACATCATCACATCAGGAGTCAAGTGTTTTTTTTCATTTTAAGTTTCATATTCACTACACTAATATCATTTAGAGGTGTTGTAGTCGAGTGGTGTAATGCAAAGATCGTGGGTTTGATCCCTGACAGGTCACTGATATCCTCTGGCAAGGCCTTTTATCTACATTTGCCTCTCTCTACCCAGGGCCCTGTCTTATAAACACTTGTGATTAATCACAAATTATTTATGATTGATATCAAATTTATCAATCGCAAATATATACATCAGAGATAGGAGACTGTAAAGTTGTGATTGACTCAAAGACATTGATTGCAACTCTTGATAAGATGGGGTCCAGATTTACATCAACATGTAGTAAATGGGTACATGCTATGACCCAAGTACTAAGAACGTTCTGCAAAACACCCTTTCCTTTTGTCATCCCCAGATGCGGAAAGTGCCATCGCTTCATGAAGTACATCTCGGCCAAGCCGATGCGTCTTCACTGCCCTACCTGCGAAGAGACGTACAGCCTCCCTCAGAACGGCTCCATCAAACTCTACAAGGAGATCAGATGCCCCCTGGATGATTTCGAGCTGGTCCTGTGGTCTTCAGGGCCGAAGGGAAAGGTATTAAAGGGACTTTGTACATTGTTTAGATGAGAGGATATGGTGCTAAGGTAGTGACTTCAATACTAGATGTACAAATAAAGATAATCTGAAAGTTTGAGTGAAAACGGACCATTATTAACGATAAAAATTGGGAAAAAGGTAAGGATTAGTTGTAAAAGAAAAAGAGAAGAAAAGAGAGTTGGGATAGGAATAAGCGCTGAGACAAAGAGAATAATGAGAGCGAGAGAGAGAGAGAGAGAGATGGAGAGACACATGTATATTAAAGAAAAATGATGAAGGAGACAAAGTAAGAAAGAAGGAGAAACAGAGATTAAGAAAGATTGAATGTAGAGATAAGAAAAAGGAGAGTGGGAGAAAAGGAAAGACAGGCAGCCAGAAAAAAAGGGGGGGGGGGGGGGAGTGTGCAAGGAGACTTATAATCTCCCTCAAAACAGCTCTATTAAGCTCCATAGATTATTGAGGTTTGTTTAAACTGGAGTGAAAATTGTTATGAATGTATCTCATTCTAAAATGTTAGCACTCATTTTCTAATGATTGTTTTTAACCACTTTACAGAGATTGAAGTCGAAAGTCTATTGCTAATGCATTGGAAAAAGCAAATGATCAGAAATTATGAGTAATCATTGTTTATAACAAAATCAGCATGAAGATCTATCTATGCCTTATAGCTTGGAGGCAGTTGGGGCAACAATGAAATGGACCTTGAGACACAGGTTCTCCATACCTTCCTGTCTTCAGCTGTTCTAGTTTTGCATGAACATAAATCTCAAATGAAGAAATGAAGAAGGGCCAGGGGTGCAACGAATGCACCCATCCCACCTGTGCCCACTCCTTAACCATGCTGGGCGTGGCTCAGTGTATTGAATGTTAACCTGTTTTTGACCCTCTCTACCACCCACAGAGCTACCCGGTGTGCCCCTACTGCTTCAGCCACCCCCCTTTCACGGAGATGAAGAAGGGACAGGGATGCAACGGATGCACCCATCCCACATGTGCCCACTCCTTAACCATGCTGGGCGTGGCTCAGTGTATTGAGTGCGATGAGGGGGTAATGGTGTTGGACCCTTCCTCGGCACCCAAGTGGAGACTCGCCTGCAACAAGTATGTATATTGATGATGATGATGATGATGGTGGTGGTGATAATGATGATGATGATGATAATGATGGTGATGATGATGATGATGATGATGATGATGGTGATGGTGGTGGTGGTGGTGGTGGTGGTGATGATGATGATGATGATGATGATGATGTTGTTGATATCGAAGATGCTGATGACGATGATGAAGATAATAATAATAATGCTGTCCACTTACATAGCGCAGCTACTATATGAATATAGTACTCTACTACGCATACAGAAACAAAGTATAACATTACTCGGGCTGTAGCTGAGCTGCCATGATAAGGCGCTAAAGCATTCCAGGAATTTCTTCCTACCGGGTAGCCATACTATGAATCTGGGTGAAGAGAGGCAAATGTAAATGAATGTCTTGCCAAAGGACATCAGTGCCGCGACAGGAATCGAATGTGGTCTACAGATGATGATGATGATAATGATGAAGATGATGACGATAGGGAATAAGGGAATGATAGATGATAATAATAGGTGCAAATTTGAGGCTGCAAAACTGATCAGTGCCGTGGCAGGAATCAAATCACAAACCATGTGGTCTACAGATGATGATGATAATGATGAAGACGATGATGATAAGGAATAAATAATAGGTGCCAATTTGAGGCTGCAAAACTGATCTAAATACTTGCAGACTCTTAGAAAAAGTGTGCTTTTAAGGATTAATCCTTTCAGTTTTTTAATCTTTAATATTTAACCACAGCCTTGTGTGACTATCTTTCTCGAACTTCTATGTCTACAACTCTGCATAAATCATTTCCACAGGGGATCAGTTCACACATGGATGAAACATTCATAACTGAGGTCAGCCTGTATAAATAATCTAAACCCTAGGGGGATTGCATGCATGACTTGAAAAGGTCCTTCCCTTACTATTACTCATTGATATCATATCCAAGGACTAAATTCATACTCTTCCCCCCACGTTCTCTTGCCGCTGAATTTATGAATTATTTTCCATGTTCGAGTTGATACGCAGTATGATTGAATACAAGGTCTAAGGCGGCATTATTTATGGACATCAGATCCGTAAATAACGACATGTTATCCTCGATATCATATCCAAGGACTAAATTCATACTCATCCCCCACGTTCTCTTGCCGCTGAATTTATGAATTATTTTCCATGTTCGAGTTGATATGCAGTATGATTGAATATAAGGTCTAAGGCGGCATTATTTATGGACATCAGATCCGTAAATAACAACACGTTATCCTCGAAATCTGCATTGACCTTTCATTGTTATGAATAATCCATTAAGCTTCAGTGAGCATTATTAATTGATTGCTTTTACTTTCTTCAGTCGATGGATACTTTTCCCCAAAGCTCTGTCACCTCAAAGAAAAATGAACGACCTTTTCCAGCTTTTGTAGCATGACAATTTGTCATCTTCATGTCAAAGCTTTATTCTTTTCCATACATGTACTTCTACTACCTCTTTTTTTCAAGGAGTAACATTCATGAGGCCTGAATGTTTGCAGCAGTCTGTTTCATATTTTCTTTTATTTTCTACCTGTGTTAATTTTCACGCCTTTATAACATTATTCATTCATTCACTCATCCATTCATTCATTCATTTATCCATCCTTTAATTATTTAATTCATACACTCATTCATTCACTCAATCAGTCATTCAATCATCCATCCATTCATTCATTCATTCATTCATTTATCCATCCTTTAATTATTTAATTCATACACTCATTCATTCACTCATTAATTCATTTAATTATTCATTCATTCTTTCTTTCAATCATTCATTCAATTATTCATTCATTCACTCATTCATTCATTCATTCATTCATTCATTCATTCATTCATTCCAGATTCAAGTTTTATTGTCCATGTATATTAATACAGAAATTTGTGGCCCATTGGGGTTACATGCAATATAAACATTGTCATAAACATGATACTGTATGCGGAGAGCGAGAAGGGTGTTGATTCAATGTTAAACAAGGATGAGTCACACCCTCAGCAGGCAGGCAGGCAGTACATAACAAGAAAATTCCTTTGTTTAAACATATTTGTGGCTTACAACCAGTAAATAAGATCGATTGATCGATCTGTTATTGAAAACAGTCAGAAAAAGTTTTATAAATGTAAAACTTCCTCAGAGAAATTTCAATTGTTTAAACATTACTCTGAGTCACATCATGCATTTACACATAAATAGCAAATGATATAAACAACATCAACAATACTGCAACTTTCCGTGATGAAAAAAAGAAGAAGAGACAGCTCGAGCAAGTGAGAGAAAGAGAGGGGAAAAAAAGGGGTAAAAGTCAGAAAGAGAGATATAGAGAGGGTAGAAATAAATCGGGAGCTGCAAAGACGTGAATATTTCTAGGCTTTCGGTTCTCTTCGAGAGACCTGGCAATGAGGATTATTCTGAGTCACATCATTGATGCATTCGCACATAAATAGCAAATGATATGAACAAAATCGACAATACCACAACTTCCTGTGATCAAAAAGAAGAAGAGAAAGACAGCTCAAGCAAGTGAGAGAAAGAGAAGAAGAAAAAAAGAGGGGTAAAAGTCAGAAAGAGAGAGGGTAGAAATGAATCGGGATCTGCAAAGACGTGTACATTTCTGCTCATAATGGTCTCTTGAATAAATGATAAATCTGAAGTCTCTGAGACATCGTATGTCTTGATTTATTCTCTATTTGACATTCATTTGAAATCTATATTGCCAGGATATGAAATCGACTCCACCTCGATATACAACTCCCCATCCATTATAAATGACTAACCTTGAAGTCTTATCACTTAAGACATCACTTTATTTGTACTGTATTTGACACTGATATGAAGTCTTATTTCCAAGAAAAGCATTTACTTAGCTGTAATCTATCCTCAACCCTCAACATTCATAAATAGTTATTTAAGGTCTTATTTCTTTATTTATTTTGTATGTTACATTGTTATCAAGCCTTCGGTTCACGAGTCGCATTACGGAAATTCAATCTTCACATTCTCCTTACACCTCAATTTGAATACATATGAACCTCTAGCAAGAAAACATTGCTGCACTATTTAAAGATAAAGTTGAGTTCTGGTCATTCGATTGCATTATAAAAGTAACGGTGTGGAATCGATATGAAAAGGTTGATCATGTAGAAATTATAAGTAATGGTGTGTACTGCAAGGTTCTGGAGTCATCAAAAGGATAACAAATTTGGCCCAGTCTTGGTAAAGTAACAAGCACTGTACACAGAAAGAAGGATATGGGACTAGACAAACATGCAGCATAAACATCGGGCCTCATTTTAGGCTGTTACTTGTCATATTTAGAATATGAAGGCATTTGAAACGCCATGCTTTTCAGGGAATATTTTTTCTCTGATGTTCTTCCACACTTGCATGAAAACACTGATAACGCTCACAAAATATTTTTCAACTCTCTCCAGAACTCAACCTTCTCTTTAAACTTTCTATGCTGAAAGCTAAATACAAAGCTTACTAAATTTCAACAATGTCTCTATAAATATTCTACTACTAAGAACTTTGTTCTTCTTATTGAGCTTCAAAAGAAGTTATTTTTACCATGCAACTCCAGAAGAAAGGGGATCGGGTATCTTGAAACAAAGAAAAACAACTTGCGACACTCAAGTTTTGCGTGGTTAATGATTGGTCAGGTCAATAATCCTTTTCATAATGCATGAACCTGGGTGCACATGTATTTTGTATGAGGTCTATGAATGATGGAAAAAAGGGTGAATGTCTGATGATCCGGCACCTCTGGGGGGTGTTTCACAAAGACTAAGATCGACTTTAAGTTGGACTTAACTATGACAGGCCATTCATGCCACTGTTTGCTCTCACTATTGGTCTCTCAATTATGATCTTTAGATAATATTTTTTCCTTCAACAATGAACTATCAAAAAATGTAAATTCTGTAGATTAGTGAACACGATTTATATGTCCCTTTAGAAACCAATGCCAGGCATGGTAAAAGGAACTACTGGCATGAAAGGCCTGCCATACTTAAGTCCAACTTAAAGTCGATCTTAGTCTTTGTGAAACCCTCCCCTGCAGTATTATCCCTCATCTTGTTTGAAAAATTGATGTGGGTGTCTGCGGTGCGATCTGCTCTTTGATGATGGAAAGTTGTTTTCGTCTTTAATGATGGTGGTCTGTAGGATAATGGATGGCATTCCACTTAAAGAGGGGTGGGGTGGCTAATGAGGTGCATTGGCCCGTAGCCCCATCCTTTTTTTTTCACAATGAGTTCACCTACTACCCTAGCTCACTGCCTAGACTGTTTCCGTGTCACACGCCCAATCCGCTGAGAAAACAACACGTCCTCAACACTGAAAAAGTGACAGACAGTAGTCCTTGCCTCTCATTCTCTACCCCGACGGTCCTTTTGGGGGACTGCGCGATGATTAGAGATACCGCGCTGTGTCAGGGATGCGTGTAAAGAAAGGAGGACACATGTGATTGAAGAATAAAGAATATATAAAAACAGACAGAATTTGGACTACCCCTCCCCCCCCCCTTCCCCCCTCCCCTCACACACATCATTATGTGTGCATGAGTTTCATGACTTGGATAATAACACATTCACTTTCAAAACCAGTCAATAGTGGTCGGAAAGGAAAGCCAAAAGTGGCCACAATAGACAGGTAGCCACTAGAAACTGGTCGTCAGCTATTACAATGTGATGTAACTGTCAATTTTTAAAATTTTCTTTTATGCAAAATTAATCCGGTAATACATGTATCTTGACATTGATTTAAATATATAAATTTTCTTCCACCATCTCCTTCTTTTGTCTTCCTTTCTCTCTCTCAGATGCAACATCATCATGAACATCTTCGAGGATGCTCACAAGGTGACCTTGTCGGGTCACCTGTGCGAAAAGTGTGATGCTTCCATTCTAAATGTCAACTTCAACAAGGTCAGTTGCACAAATTTGTGAATAGGCCTGTCATCATCAGGTTGAGTTTGCCAAATAATCAGCTATTTTAACTATCCCGATTGCAAATTAGCCAGTTAATTTGCGTCATCATCAGCCCGCAGTTGCGATTAGCGGAATATTTGGTTGAGAAAATATCCCAAGAAATGTTTGTCTTGTTATCAAAATATCCTGCTATTTGAGAAATAGCGGGGTTAATTTGCGCCAGTTCAATCTAGTTTGTGATGAGCGTATCGGTCTGGTGAAGAAGCAATTTCAAGCTTCAGGATAATATCCAGAGTCTAAAAATTGTGGGTTATTTGGCAAACTCTAGCTGATGAGGACAGGCCTAATGAGAAGGCCCAAGTCATTTGGTTTTCTTTTAGACCAGAGCCTGATGCCCCAATTAAACTTCTACATGCAGGACAATGGGACAAATACATATTCCATTGCCTTTGACATACCTAACACTTGGCTTGTGAGGTCAGGGGGGTGTTTCACAAAGATCCTAAGTTGAACTTATCTCTAAGTTGGACTTAATTGAAAATATTTTGTAAAATTTATTTTAAAAGGCATAAAATGTTGATTCAAATCAATCATATTTTCTATTATTATGGAAGATTTCATGTTCTTGATGGGGAATTTATGAAAAGTCTAAAATACCTTAATTTTTGCTGGTGAATATATTTTATGTTAAGGCTACAAATGGCTCTCCATAATTTTTAAGTCCAACTTAGACTTAAGTTTGACTTAGAATCTTTGTGAAACACCCCCCAGGGCACTAAATGAGAGAAAATGTATTCGAGCTCCGGTGGTCACGGCGGGTTTGCGAGCCAAACTGACTAGGTCCCAGTCATGTGGTTGTACCACTCGTGCTGCAGCAACAATAACTCTGCAGTCAATAATCTTGGTGGTTTATGAAGGAATATATATATATTCCTTACAGAGGTTTAATAAAATAGATGTGCGATGTTATATTCAGGTCACAGATGGATTAAATATTAATTGGAAGGGGGTGGAATACTGATATTTTTGTAATAACGTGAGTACTTAGAATGAATATCACAGAATTTACCACTATATTTTTTGGTGATTACAACTTCAGAAACTCATAACTTCTTGTTCTTCTTCTGCGCCTTCCTCTTCTTCTTCTTTATCATCATTTTTTAGTGGATTTTCCTAAACAGTTACATTATTTTTCTCATTTTTCTGCTTTCGTTAAAACCAACTGAATATCAGGTTTGACTTCCCCTTTAATGCAACATTTATCTCTGCCTCTTTTTTCCTTTTTTTTGCAGACAAGTAATTTATAAATTGCATGTACATGTATGTAAGCCCCACCATTCTCTCTCTCATTTTTAAATTTTAATTATTCCTTTTTCTTTTCCCCCAGAACAAAACTCCACTTGAGGGTGGCGAGACCTACCACAAAGGATGTATCTTCTGCGACCCCATCTTGACCCCTCTCACGGAGGCCCAGCATGCCAGGTTCCGTCGCAGGCGTGGCGGAGGAGGGGGTACCGTCGGGAGAGGGCGTGGTAGGGGGAGGGGCAGGGGGCGGGGCCGAGGAAGAGGTAGGGGAAAACCCAAGGACAAGATGTCACAGCTGGCCGCTTACTTTGTTTAGAGGGTTTGCATGTCAAAGGTCGGAACTCATGCTGGGTCAAGCTTAACTCTTTAGATGCCACAAAAATAATCTCCGTCAGCCACACTGTATTTATCAAGTGATAGATACACCAAAGGCTTCAAGACCATTCAACTGTTTCAAGTGCAAAAGTAATGTGTACCAGTGTTAAAGACTCTGCACTAGTTTGGCGTGGAGGGATTAGACCTCCCTGCAAGTTCACTGACATGTGGTCATCCCATCAAATTAGCTCTCAATTAACATAAGAAAAAGGGCATCCTGGGGGATCAACCGGTACTGCTTAGGCATTGTTAGCTATATAGAGGGCTCAAGTAGCTATAAGTAGTGCAATGGGGCTTTAAAAGGGTTGTCATGGAGCTAATCAAGACCAGCAAATTGACAATTTTTTTAATTCATTGAGTTGCATAAAGCAATCCTTTTGTCATTATTGAAAAAATGCTGCATTTTTGCCACTTTATTTCTGGAAGATGCTTTAACCACTTGACTGCTCACCACGTACATGTACGTGTTCTCGCTCTTGCATGTCTGTGCGCACCACGTACATGTAAATGCTTAGGGCATTGCACTTTCAAGACCGTAGCACTGCATAATGCCAAGCCCTGCTGTGTAATTAGCACTGCAATGATGTTATACAGGTCTTGAACAGTAGATGGCGCTCTTCCAAAAAAAAATCTGGCTTTTTGTGTACAGTGTACAGTTTTTGTCAGATTTGAGTACAGTACAAAAATGCTGTAGCACAAGGGATATGAACGCATTTTAAGCCAATAGCAGTCAAGTGGTTAATCAGCAAACAAGACGATCTACTTTCCACGCCAAAGGTGACAATTGATGCATAATGCATATTTGATAACAATATATAATTGTATCGGTCAAAAAAATCCCCTGAAACATCAGATTTTGCCAAGAGACTTATTGTGAAGATATCATTAGCTGTGACATCAATGTTTTCTTAGTCTACAATTACATTTATTCAAAAGTCAGAAATTGTCCAGCATACAGGATAAGTGTGAGATGAAGGAAAGTACATAGAAATGTATGTAAAAGTGTATTTTATTTCATCAATTGTCTGACATGACAAACCATCCTTTAACAAAATTGTAGATGGTTGCATACCACACAATATAGTACTTAAAATAGTTTTTTTCGGTTTCTTCTGTTTTCCTCATCTATGGGATATTATTTTAGAAACCTATTTTTAATTGAGGCTTATTATATATAATTGTTATATAATTTCTATATACTAATTTCTGTTAGATCAGTCGATTATATGTGGTTGTTTTTTCTTATTCCATGTCATTTTTTCTTATTATGATTATATACTTCAAGCCTGAATTCCAATTCAATTGGCCAACATGTATATGAATATATGTTGACAAGGTGTTGTGGTCTGGTAGATACAACACTGGACTGTGGATCACATGGTTCATGGTTCAAGTCCCGGCAATGTATTTATCCACATTTCCCACACTCCACCTAGGTGAGGTAAATAGGTACCCGGTAGGAAGAAATTTCTTGGAAGCTAAGCTAAAGCCGGGGTAAAAGTATGATTGCAGGGCCCTCAGTGAGAACAGTATTAATACTGGTGAGGCTACCCTGGGTAAACAGGACATACATTGTATTATTTGTATAGAAGATCTTTCAGTCATCCAAGAAAATCATTGTCCAGTTGGCTTCAGTTACTGACCGTTATTTGCCTCTTTAAAAATGTAATCATTTGGGACCCGTTTCACAAAGCCTTTTTCCAATGAAAAATGACAAAAATCTATGGCAAGTCTGCTGATAACCAATCAGAATCAAGGATTTCAGTAGCTTATAACAAAACTGTCATTTTTCACTGATGACAAGTTTTGTGAAATGGGGCCCTGTTTGGAGCCAAAGGGGCATTAAAGACAGTATGTTACCAACATTGCTATCACCATTGTTGAGTATTTCATTTCTGACATCTTTCGGTGAAGGCGTACATAGAGCGATTTTCTGGTTCCTGTTTCCAAGCATCATCAAGCATGCGTCATCGTGTGTATTTTCACAGTCAAAAAAGCCATTGGAAGCAAAATTTATATGTAATGTTTGCATGCAAAGACCAATAAAATAATCTCGAATCTTGAATCTTAAATGCAATGTGGGGCATGGCTTTTAGATTTCTGGTTCTTGTACCCAAGCATCATCACACTTTCGAGTCATTGGTTGGTGATGCATTGTGGAACATGGCTGTCGACACATTGGCACATTGGGAGCAGCAGATGGCAGTAAACGTAAATCTGAAGTGGTGTCGGTAGAATACATTGCCTTTAACTTATATACTTTAAATTCACATACATGTAGGCAATATCATACATTTAAGGCAACTCCAGTAGGAAATGTAATGTATATTTTTCCTCTCCCCCTTCCCTTCTTTTCTTTTTTCTTTCTTTGAATGTAAATTTGTCATCCTTAATATTTTGTTGAATTCTGTAATAAATCTAATTTTTCTCTTGTACCAGAATTCAAGAGTAAAACAGAATTATGATTGTAAATTATACTATGCAACAATAAATGGCATTCGGAATGCCATGCTGAAAGAAAAAACTCTTTTTTTTCTATCTCTTTCTTTCTGTATTTGTTTGAATGTAAAGCCATGGCTTCACAGGGGAGAAAAGAATGATATATCATCAGCAGCAGCAGCGTTTAGAGTCCATTTGTCCCACTTTGTGGTTTTGGACATTTCATTTCATTTCCTTAATGGCTGCTTTCCAAGCTTTCCTGTCTGTGGGATCCATATCCATAGAAGAAGATGGCAAAACATCTGGCATCTTCTTCTATGGTTTCCCTCCCAAGTTTTCCTGGGTCTCCCGCACGTCTTCTTCCGGTGACCGGAATGTTTAGAGCCCTCTGGAGCCAGTGTGTTTCCTCTCTTCTTGCCACATGTACAAACCATCCAAGTCTATTTATCCTAATATAGAAAGGATGATATAAAATTGAGTGTTATTGGTGCGTGTCTGGTTATGGCATCTAGTGCGTGAAACCCAATCACCCAGACAACGACGGACCTGGGACCCGTTTCACAAAGCCTTTTTTCATTGACGAATGACAAAAATCAATGAAAAATCTGCTGATGACCAATCAGAAGCAAGGATTTCACTAGCTGATAACAAAAACTGTCATTTTTCACTGATGACAAGTTTTGTGAAATGGGTCCCGGGAAAGGGGAAGTACACCCTGGTAAGTGGAATTACTAAAAGCAGACAAAAGAGAGAAACAAATTAGTGAAGGTTTGAGCAATTTCGGATTATTACAAGTAGATAAGTTGTGAATTTTTAAAGCTGTCATCAGTCAAACACAAATTGGCAACACTGTTACGTATTTTGCTATAGGTCCTCTCATTAAATTTGTACTATATAGAAATTGTTATAAACGTTAATTTTCTGATTGATTGATGTAATAGTGGTAGTTATTTAACCTGACAGCTAAGGAAGCAATAAATGCTTTTTAGTAAGCAACCAGAAGACCGACGGCTCTATAGGTCCTCTCCGAGGGACCTGATAATGATGATTAATGCCTTACCAAAGAGCACTAGCGCATCGACTTGGTTTCGAACCTGGGTCACCGGATTACGAGACCACTGCTCTACCGACTGAGCTATCGCGCCTCCTCATTAATGATGGAAGAGAATGGTTTTATACAGGGGTTATATAAAAACATATCTGCAATAGGTATACGTGTACTTAGGCAGCATGTAATATTGAAAATTTCTAGGGGAAAAAATAGAAATTTCATATTTTATTACTACAGAACAAATTGGAGGGGACCTCACAAAATACGTCAAAAAGTTGGTAATTTGTGTTTGATTAATCGCAACTTTGAAAATGCATAACTTTCCTTTTTTCAATCAGATTTTGCTCAAATTTTCACCGACATGTTCCTCTTATTTTCCCTGCTTCTACATGTATTAAAACCAACTCACTTTCAGTGTGGACTTCCCCCTTTAAGTGGTCAACTCTAGTTGATAAAATGATGCTTTCGTGGTAGCCCTTCCTTGGTAGAACTACTACACTTTTAGGCGTCCTGTTTAATAGTTTACCATTAAAGTGCATTATAAATGGCGTGTTATTCCTGGTGCATGTACTTCATTGTTTTTAAATCTTAATGGTTGTGATATTGACCTCGGAGACTAATGAAGTGCTCTACTATTAGTAGACTTGAAGGCCCGTTCAGACGGAAGCTTAAAACCCACTTTAAATCTTACTTATTCCCCCCAAAATGCCCCTGCCGCATTAAAATCGTTGCGCTAATAACTCAGGACACATAGGCATATATTGCTAAATGGCGCTTAAATGCGATGCTTGACACTGAAGCAGTGTTCCGTCAGGCAAAAATTACAGACTTTTATGTGCGACTGGCATAGTACCCATTGAACTAGATCCACTTCAATTGCGTCATTTCCATATTATATTATTTTTTGTTTTCAATTACGCCAGTATATCAACGCAATGCTTGCAATGCTTGCGTTGTTCATTTAGCGATCAGTGTTTTGTATGATTTCACCCTCAACGCGGTGCGTCAAAATGACTGCACCGGTAGCTGACGCAGACCTACGCCAATCCAATGACGCATCACGTGCAACGGGCCTACAGTCTGAACGGGGCTTTGTGATGACGCAGTGACCTTAAGGCCCATTAGAACCAATACTCGGCTTACACCCGCAGACACAAGGTTGTGTCGCGGCGATGATCTTAGCCATTAGCTAATTGACAAAGTCTGTGTTGTCCGTGACTTATTACATGAGGCGAGTAAATTGTATCTATTAATAATCGCTGCAGGAGATATCACTTAGCTATATTTAGTTTTCTCACCTAAGCATTTTCACTTTTTTTCCCCGCGCCTCTGGTTTTTCACTTATTTCTTCAACGCAAAAAGCGACAAGACGTACAAGAAATAAACATCAATATCAATAGCCCTGTCTAAGATCTTCTGAAATGTGCCAACTTTACAGTTATAGCAATTGTCATAATCCGAGTAATATTTTCTATTGGCAATGATATACTAGGGCTTGACGTGATTAGGCCAAATAAAAAAAAAACATGTTTAGCGTCCTGTTTTTTCGAAAAATAGGAAGGAGGAGGCCCTTTTTATTTTTTATTTTTTCTTTCAAAATGGCCGCTCAAAATGGCCGCTAGGTACATTTTGTTTGTTTGTTTTTATTTCTGCATTTTCAAAAAAGAACATAATCATATACATAACGTAACAAATATTTCTTCATTTTACATAATAATACATTTTTTAAGTACATTAAATAAGATGCATACAAACACAAATATAATTTAAATGAAAAAATAAGATAAATTACAGAAAACGCAGGAGACCGCCATCATGAGCGGTAAGCTTGAAATCGATGGCGGCCTCGACAGCCGAGGCTATTTTTTTTCAAGATGGCCGCCGACAATTTTTTTTTTTTTTAAATCAGAAATAGAGCCATTTTAGCAGTGTTTTTCATGTTTGTTTTTTCCAAAAAAAAAAAAAAAAAAAAAAAAAAAAATAGGAGGCGGCCCCCAAAAAGGAAGCGGGCGGGGACGCTAAACATGTATATTGTTTTTAATGGCCTTAGATTGCCAACTAGGGGAGTTCGTAAAGCCATTGCGATTGTGATTTTCTGTTTTCCATTTCTTTTCTATAATGGTT